TATAAGAATGGAATTATATTTAATATATATAATAATTATGCTTTTCTTTTTGTTCCTAGTGGCAAACTGACTCTGATGGCTTCCACACCAGTTCCACAGCCTCCTCCTAAGAAAACGGTGGCCTCCCATGTGCCTTTTGCAGATCTGTGTACTACTCTGGAGCGAATACAGAAGTGTAAGTCTCGCCCAGAGAAAGCCAAGTATTTCAAGGATTTTCTGGATTCCTGGAGGAAATTCCACAATGCACTTCATCAGAATGAGAAAGACGTCACCGATTCCTTTTATCCAGCTATGCGGCTTATCCTTCCACAGTTGGAAAGAGAAAGGATGGCATATGGAATCAAAGAAACTATGCTCGCCAAGCTGTACATTGAACTGCTTCATTTACCAAAAGATGGAAAAGACGCCGCAAAGCTTTTAAATTACAGGACACCTACAGGCTCGCGTGCAGATGCTGGGGATTTTGCAATGATTGCATACTTTGTGCTAAAACCTCGCAGCCCCAAACAAGGCAGACTCACGATAGAACAGGTCAATGAACACTTAGATGCCATAGCTAATAATAATGTTGCTAAAAACAAGGGTCAGTTAAAGAAAAGTCTTCTTCAGTTAATTACGCAGAGCACAGCGCTGGAACAAAAATGGCTCATCCGGATGATCGTAAAGGATCTAAAGCTTGGTGTGAGTCAACAGACCATATTTTCCATTTTTCATCCCGACGCTGCTGAATTACACAACGTCACAACTGATTTGGAAAAGGTTTGCAGACAGCTGCATGATCCCTCTGTCTCACTTAGTGATGTTTCTATCACGTTGTTTTCTGCCTTTAAACCAATGCTTGCTGCTATTGCAGATGTCCAGCAAATTGAGAAGCAAATGAATAACCAAACATTCTACATAGAAACTAAGCTGGATGGTGAACGTATGCAGATGCACAAAGATGGGGATGTCTATAAGTATTTTTCCCGAAATGGGTTTGACTATACCCAGCAGTTTGGTGCTTCACCCCTTGAAGGTTCATTAACGCCATTTATTCATAATGTATTTAAGAGCAATATACAAAACTGCATTCTGGATGGTGAAATGATGGCTTACAATCCTGAGACACAGACTTTTATGCAAAAAGGAAACAAATTTGACATAAAAAGAATGGTGGAGGACTCTGATCTGCAGACCTGCTTCTGTGTGTTCGATGTATTGATGGTCAACAATCAGAAGTTGGGCCACGAAGTGCTAAGCAAAAGATATGAAATCTTAAGTAGTGTGTTTACCCCAGTAAAGGGCAGGATACATGTTGTACAGAAGAAAAGTGCCAGAACAAGAAAGGAAGTAATTGATGCTTTAAATGAAGCAATAGATAACAGAGAGGAAGGGATTATGGTGAAGGATCCCATGTCCATCTATAAGCCTGACAAACGTGGGGAAGGCTGGTTAAAAATCAAGCCAGAATATGTCAATGGACTGATGGATGAACTAGACCTTTTAATTGTTGGTGGTTACTGGGGTAAGGGGTCACGTGGTGGAATGATGTCTCATTTTCTGTGTGCTGTTGCAGAGACACCTCCTCCAAATGAAAAACCAATCATTTTCCACTCTATTTGTCGTGTTGGCTCTGGCTATACTATGAAGGAGTTGTATGATCTAGGTTTGAAACTGTCCAAACACTGGAAGCCCTACCATAGGAAGGACCCTCCCTATAATATTTTGTGTGGAACTGAAAAACCTGAAATGTACATTGAACCTTGCAACTCTGTCATCGTTCAGATCAAGGCAGCTGAGATTGTTGACAGTGATATGTATAAAACTGACTGCACTTTGAGATTCCCCCGAATTGAGAAGATAAGAGAGGACAAAGAATGGTACGAGTGCATGACTTCAGACATGTTAGAAGGTCTCAGAAGCAGAGCACAAGGGAAGCTGGCGTCTAAGCACCTTCATATAGATGAGTATGATGAGCCACGTGAGAAAAAAAGGAAAACTGTGCCAAAGGTGAGGAAGGTAATTGGAATAGCTGAGCAATTTAAAGCTCCTGATCTTTCTAGTGTAAGCAAGGTTTCAAATCTATTTGAAGATGTTGAGTTTTGTGTTATGACAGGAACAGGAAAATACTCAAAGTCTGAGCTGGAAAGCAGAATAGCCCAATGTGGTGGCAGTGTGGTACAGAACCCAGGGCCAGAGACTTACTGTGTCATTGTAGGAGCTGAGAATGTCAGAGTGAAAAACATCATCGCTTCCAACAAATACGATGTGGTGAGGGCAGAGTGGCTCCTGCAGTGTTTTCAAACCAAAATGCTGGTGCCTTGGCAACCAGCCTTTATGATTCACATGTCTCCTGACACAAAAGAACATTTTGCACGTGAATATGATTGTTATGGAGACAGCTACACAGCAAACACAGATGTTGCACAGCTCAAGGAAGTGTTCTCGAGAATCAGAGACAATAAGGCGATGCCTTTGGACACGATTGCAGAGTTAGAAGAGCGTTATTCATGGAACAGTTGTCAGCTCAGTATATTCAGAGGAAACACTATTTATGTGGACTGTTATGCTGTTGTTAATGAGCCCCAAAGCAAAATCCATGGAACGACACTATCGACTCGAGCTTTGGAGCTCCGTTTTTATGGTGCAAAGGTAGTCTCTCACCTTGCAGAGGGTGTTTCCCATGTTGTCATAGGAGAAGATCATTCCCGGATAGAAGAGATGAAAGCACTCAGGAGAACATTTGGGAGGAAATTTAAAATTGTATCTGAGCTGTGGGTAACACAGTCAGTGGAGGATGGAGTCGCAAAGAATGAAAATCAGTACCTACTTTAAAGTAGTTTTTAAGATTGGATCTAAGGATTCTTGTTAGCATGACTGGACGTGGATTTTATGAGGTTTTGTGTGTTTTCATATCTAAAGCTGGCTCTGGCTAAAGAATAACACTATTGCTGAAATCAGAAATGCTTTTAATTATGCTGTTGCGGAAGCAAGAGGAAAACCACCACAAGATAAATAATGTAGCTTTTTACTTCACAAACAGGTCTCAGGAGAGAGCTAATATTTTACATAAATACGTTTGAAACTGGCTAGTTTGTCCTAGCTGTTAGTAATGCTTGCCTCTGTTGTTCAAAATGGAGACAATATTTTACTATTTTATGGAGATTCTACAATTTATTTATTGCTTATTTATCAATTTGCAGTCACATTCATGTTTTTTGTGCTTGTTTTGTGTGTATTCCATATGCTGCAGTATTCAGTAATTATATAAACTTCATCTGTACTGTTTTCATTTGTTTACATTGGTTTTAGCATTGAGCACCACAGCCTCAGAAGCACTTTGATTTTAGGAAATTGCATATTTCCGTGTTTCTTTGTGTATGTAACCTTTGTCAAATAGAACCCAAACTTTTGATTGAGGTGCTAATGAATTATTAGTGACCTATATACGTATAAAATACGAACTGCTTTAGAACTGTAATAACCTGCTGTGCTCATTATGGTTAAGCCATAAAGTGTGACAGGGCTAGGCTTTTAACTATCAGTTTATCTTTCAAAATATACTTCTTAATCTATTTTAGCAATTAGGATTAATTTACAAATACCTAATTCAATATATATTTTTCCAATTGCTCAATAAAATCTATTTTTAAAGTCTGCCTGGTATTTATTTATAGTGAGTGCTAACTTTTGAAAAGGACAAAACTGAGTTTCCAGTTTTATTGTTAGATAATTTGTGCATGAACTTGGGAGTGGAGAAAAGTTGAGGCCTCAGTTTTTGTTATGTCAATACTGGTATCAAACAGAACTGCTGTTGGGCAGATCACACAGAACCAGTGTTTAGCTGACCTGTTTCTACAATGGTTTTTGTGGTCATCTTTGTACAGAAAATACTGTAAAAAGAATTGGGTAATGTTATATGAAAGACTAATGGGAAGGAAGCTTATTGTTAACTCTTGTAGTTAACTCTTATAGAGCTCCCTTATTATTTGAAATATACTAAATAGGTAAGATGTGATAGCCATAAATTTACTGTCACCAGGCCTGCTTTGCTCTTCTTGGGCAGGGTTAGTGTGGTGACACTGTGCCTTTTGGTGGTGAGGATACTGCCTCATGCCTGTCTTGCTTGTCCCCTCAGTGCTTTCCCTCATGGAGCAGCCTGCTTGCATCCCTTAACACCACAGGGAGTTGAATGAGTGCAGGAAAACTGACTTCCTTGCTTCTCTCTGTTATGGAAATCCTCACCCCCCACAGAACCACATTTCTTTGTCCCCCTGATAGTCATCTGGTATTTAGTTTGGATGTGAACTTCTTTCCAGGACCTTGTGTGGTCCTTGTTCCTCAATTTCCAGTTACTCTTTCCTGAAATAGTGCATCTGTATGTTTTGAAAGAGTCTGCATGTAATGTCTTTGGAAAGCAGAAGGTCCATTTATTCAGGTGAAATCAGTCAAGATCTGTCAGCTGTGGTAAATGACAGGTGTATTACTCTGTTTATGGCACCTCAATTTAATGTTCTGGGGAGAGATTTTAAAGAGCTCTGTAGTTTGCTAGTGGGGTTTTTATAATTCTCAGTTCAATATTTCTGTTACAAAAAACCCAACAACCAATGATCACTTAATCTTTCCAATCCATATGGAATTGCAGTTTGAATTCTTTCAAAGGAGGGACTTGAATTTTTAAAATGTCTTGAAAAGGATTTAAAAATATTCATTTGAAGGTGACTAGGGAAATGCCTTTTAACATAGTTCAACCAAGCATAAAACATCTCCAGCTGGTAACAGCTGTTGTACCACAAAGCAGTAGATGGGCCTATAAAATTTTACAGGACTACTTTTTCTATGAGGGAATAGGAATGAGAGAATACTCTATAACTTTGACTTACTATGTTAACCTAACTGTGAAAGTGGAGCTTATAGGCATAATTAAAATGTTTCTTCATGTTGATTTCTGGAAGTAAGGAAATTAAAAGGTACTGTATTTGGATGTTTTTAACAGTTGTAGCTTTCCTTTCTTTGTAAATTTGGGGAAGATTCAAACAGCAAGCATTAATGTTTCTCATTTTTTCTTACAAAGGATGCAGAAAGCCTAAGCATGTGATTGTATGTGAAAAGTGACGTAACAAGAATGTTTCAACATGTGTACTTGTCACTAGGTTACTGACAAAATAAATTCATTCTTCTGTTAATGCTGTGGGAAGAGGAGCTATGTAAAGCTATGAAACCAGAGTTAATTTTTCTCCTGTGTCATACATAAATACAGTTTTTGGAACTGAAGTTGCCAGAAATAAGGTACCAGGGAAAACAAGAATTGTTACACACAAAATGAGTGTGTATGCTGTGAGTGGTTAAGATTCCACACTCTCATCCTCAGTCTTTCCCATAACAGAACAAATTTACACAGTCTGGTTCTGTGTGTTGTGTTGTAGTAGTTAGGATAGGTTTACTAGGAAATTACTATCAGTTTTTATGAAGTTCAAATTAGCCTTTTGAAACAGATTCAGGTAGAAGGTTTCTTGTTGGGGGTTTGGTTTGGTTTTTTTAATGCAAGTCCTTGTGTTTCTGATTTAAATTTTTATACTCTGTCTAGCATTATGTGTTTTGTTATAGTATAAGACTAGCTTGGTGGACAAGGGAGGAACACTAGATGTGTTGAGAAAAACATTTCTCAGCTTGAAGCCTTTTGACACTGTCCTGTAATGTTCTCATAGACAGCTGATGAAGTATGGGCTAGATAAATGACCTGAAAACTGGTTGAAATGCCAGGCTTGAAATTGTCAGCAGCAGCTGAGGTATAGGACAAGAGGCAATGGGCAGAAAAGGAAACGGAGACTTTTGTTTAAAACTAGGGAAATTCTTGCTGCAAGGATGGTGAAACTCAGGACTGGGTTTCTCAGAGATGCTGTGGAGTCTCCATCCTTGGTGGCTTTCAAAACATAACTGGATACAGTCCTGAACAACCTGCTCTAGCTGAACCTTTGAGCGCACAGGAGTTGGACTAGATGATCTCAGTCAGGTCTGAACTGCAGTTCTCAGTCTGATTTCTGGTCTCTTATGAATGGGCAAAGTGTCAAAAGATGACATACATTGCAAATTTAATGGATTTTAATTTTTTTTTCTTTTGCAGTAGAACAGGCATTAGGATAGCTGGCTCTCTTTAGCAGCATGATTTTAACAGCTGCACGTTAAGCTGGAGGAAAATCATAGAATGTACATAATCTTGCACTGTAAAACAATAATTAGTCAATTAATCCATTGGCCAAAGAACCCTCAAATCAAAAAACACTCTCCTCCCCACAAAAAAACCCCAAAACAACCCCCCTAAAAAAAAGCATAAACCAAACTGAGTTATAATGAACATGAACATCAAGGTTGTTCCAAGTCTCCTGATCAGTGCTAAGAACTCTCTAAGTGTTGTGTATAAATTTTTAAATCCTAGCCATGTCTGAGAGAATAGATGAGCTTGTTTTCAGTTTGAGGTGATACATAACTCTATCAGTTTTGAAAGTGAAAACATGTTCCAGTAGCTTAACCTCTTTCATCTGATTGTCCAGTCTTCATTGGGGAATGCTAAAGTAACAGCTTCTTTCTTGTAATGGTAGACTAAAAATAAAAACACTACTCTGGGGATCCAAGGAGGAGGTAGGAATTCTCCACGTTGTTTCACATGGAAGTTTCCTCCTGCAGGCAATGTGCTGCAGCCTGCCATCCCTCAGCTGGCTTTGCCATGGCAGCAACCAGAGACAATGTGTTCTTTCAAATCCATGTTTTTAGCCTTACACCTGCAGTTAATGAACTAACGATCTGGTCAAAGACAGGTGGATGTGTGTGCATGTCTGTGCATAGATATGTGCATAGATACGTGTATTCAAGTGAAAGACAACAATAGATGTGTAACATAGCTAGCCTCAGTTTAGTTTTTGTGGTTGCCTTTTTCCACCTTGGTCTCCCACAGATTCTCCCCAGCCTTGACCTCTTTTGACTAGTGTAGTATAGATTTTAAATATCATACCTGTGTACTGCCAAAATGGAATCATTTTGTTAATCCAGTTTAAAGCTGGTTTGTATACCTCTGTGTAATGCTTCAGTCTGTCCTACAAACTTGTTCATATATAATTATACCAGACATAGAATCATAAAATCATAGAATCAAGTGGGTTGGAAAACACCTCAAAGATCATCAAGTCTGACTGTACCTACATAATAACTTATCTCAGATTTGTTTGGGTTGTTGTTTTCTTTTTTTAGTTTTACTTAAAATCCCTGAGAGCTATTGGACTAAGAAGAAGGTAAAGATTATTCAAGGCAAAATTAAACATGAAGGTGATAGGCATCACCTTGTTCAGGCCTCTGAATTGGATGTATGAATGAAATAGAAATAAACAGGATAGTCAGTTTTGCTGATTACATCTAGCTGTAACTGAAACACAGCAGGTGCTGTGAACAACTGCCTGACATGGTGCTACAACAGCAACCAGGGCAGAGCAGCAAGATCACATCCATTAACAATATTAACAAAGTTAAAAAATAAAAGACAGAAGAAAAAAGAAAAACATTATTTTACTGGGGTGTTTTTCTATGAATTATGTAGTAACTCTAGAATAACTTTTTCTGTATTGATATATCTAAGTTCTTATGCTTCATGAAGAGCTGTACAAACATGCCAACTGCTGTGTACAGATCTCATAGAGATTCCTGGCAGACACCCAGTAAATGGCATCTGATGTGCAGTAAAGGTAATATTGAAATTTTTAAGATTGAAATATTTAACTTTTTTTAGTGACTGAGGGATATAAAGGAAGATTTTACTTCTAGGAAGGAACCTTGGTCTTAATAAG